TAGGGTTTTGCGTTTGTAGGGTTTAGGGTTTAGGGTTTAGGGTTTAGGGTTTATAGGGTTTAGGGTTTTGCGTTTGTAGGGTTTAGGGTTTAGGGTTTAGGGTTTAGGGTTTAGGGTTTAGGGTCATGTGACCTCCATTAGCTTCCAGTGTACGATGACCTAAAATATGGCCTACTATCTAAAAGGCATCTGCGATCAGAGTGCTGCTTGACATGAACTACCCTTAACATCTCTAACCCAGAGGGTCCGAGTACCCAAATAGTAAGGTTTTAGGTCCCAAAAATCTACACTCTGCATGGTTTTTGGACCTTGAAACCCTAGTATTTGGGCACTTGGACCCTTAGGGTAAACTCTAGACCCTGCCATGAAGTAAAAGAACCCCTTCGAAGATACAACTGCTTATGGAACCCCATAGAGGGGTAATCCTTGAAGCAACCCTGAAAGGGACCCTGAAAGGAACCCTAAACCCTAAACCCTGAACGTACTGAAGCCAAGCAGCGGAGGCCAGCGGAGGTCGCAAGATGCTCGAAACCTCCCAGGAACGACCTGCGATGCTTTCGGAGGATTTAGGGTTTGGGGGTTTAGGGTTTAGGGGTTCAGGGGTTTAGGGTTTAGGGTTCAGGGTCTGGGGTTTGCCATTTAGGGTTTGACCCTAAACCCTAAACCCTAAACCCCTAAACTTTAAACCCTAAATCTCTAAACCCTGGGTTTGGGGCCTAGGGTTTAGTGCTGAGGGCTTAAGACTTGGTGGAGCCTAAAGTCACTTTCCAGGCTTGGGCTTTAAGCATGTAGGGGTTTAGGGTTTAGGCTTTAAGCCAAAAACTTCTACACCTTAACCTACCAGAACCTACTTTGTCGTAGAGTCCTGTTCAATTCCGCACGAAGCCACGATTGAAAACCGACAAAACCAAGGATATGGTAAACTGCTGGTAGGGCTTGAAGGTGGTGCGGTTTGGCGTAGGGCTTTTAGCGCAAATGCTACAGACTCGCTGGTTCAGGATCTAGGGTGTGGTAGCTGGATGGCACAATAATACGATGTGTGCCGATTGCAAGCTCCCGCCGATCCAGTCAGCCCATAGCCAGCCCGTCCTATCCTGGACAATGATTTCGACATGGCATCCCTCTCGCTCCCATGCAACTTGCAGCCTTCAAGCTTCCAAGCATCCAGAGCTCTCTGGTCGATGTGCTCAAACTCCATGTCAAGGTCTGGACACTATCATAAAACTCTCCAAGTCCATGGAAATGCGGCTTGTTGCGTAGGATGTCCCGAAGGACACCTGAAGGTTGCAACTGAAATCCTTCGCAACTTTAGACTCAAGTCGGGTCGCTTGAGCTATGGGCAGGTCTTGTGCATCAGCCAGGCCAGTCGATCTCCCAATTCTAGGAGTGCTTCTTCCATATAGTACGCCTCGTTGTACACCCTTTCCAAAAGTGGCAGGTGCATAAGGCGAAAGTGCCTGCACTGCAAACCACGGAAATTGCCATCCAGGTACTGGTTTAAATCATGCACTAAAGTGTAAGGATGTGCAGAGTGGTAGATCATGCAGAAAGTCTCTTGCGATGCGAGAAGCCTAGGGTTTAGGGCATACCTTAAGAACCCAAAACCCACTTTTTTGTGGGTTCTTAGTATAAACCCTCATATGGGATTTATAGGGGCCCTACAAAAAAGTAGGTTTGGGGTTCTTAAGGTAAACCCTAAACCTAAACCTCTAAACCTGAACCTCTAAAGCCTTAACCTAATATGGGATTTATAGGGACCCTACCAAAAAAGTAGGTTTTGGGGTTCTTAACCCTAAACCCTAAACCCTAAACCCTAAACCTTAAACCCTAAACCCTAAACCCTAATATGGGACTACAAAAATGTAGGTTTTGGGTTCTTAAGGTAGGGCTCAGGTTCAGGGCGAAGTGTTGAAGGCTTCTTTGAGCGCAGGCGACGCTTCAAGCACCGGTTTAGGGTTCAGGGTTCAGGGTTTAGGGTTTAGGGTTTAGGGTTCAGGGTTTAGGGTTTAGGGTTTAGGGGTTAGGGGTTAGGGTTTAGGGTTTAGGGTTTAGGGTTTAGGGACCACCACACTAATAGTGGTGTAACGGTCTTATGCGACCAGCACAGACGGACCCTGAGATAACTGCCCCAATCCCTGATGCAATCCTAACCTTGAGCTCATCCCAACAGACCTGAAGGGTCGAGTCTCCCTAAACCCCTAAACCCTAAGCCCTAACTCTAGCTAAAGATCCGACAATGCCTCCAGAACCCTCACACCTGAAACCCTGTGTCCCAAAACCCGACACCTCTAAAATCCTTATGGAGCCCTTGCAGAACCCACATGGAGCACTTGCAGGCCCTAGAAGCCTTAAGAAGAGCCCCCCAAAAGAGCCCTGAAGCCGCAAGCGCCTAAAGGCCCAGCCCAATGCCCACGGATCAGGGGTTGCATGGGCTTTAGGGTTTAGGGTTTTTAGGGTATTATAGTCGTCAAACAGCAATAACGCTGAAAACAAAGGTGCGATTGCAGTGAGCCAGTAAAAAAAAGTACTCTCCGAAGCCTCGAAACCCCGACAAAACAACAAGACTATCAATCACGCAGGCGCGGAAAACAGCAGAAGGCGAAAAACAGCTGCCCTCCCAGTTCCGTTATTTTTCTGCCATAGTAGCAAAGCCCAACGCCCTCTTCTGCCTGAAAGACGCTCCTGCTCCTCCTCAATGTCCGCGGGCCCAGGGACGACGCCTTCCAGGGTGTCGACCTGGACGCGCAGAGACACGTGCCCGGGTAGTTCTCTAAATGCGCGTCCCTTTCGGGGTCCTTTTATATTCGGGGTGGTCTGCTTTCGGTGTCCTTTTATAGGGCCACAGGGGTGGTGTAGGAGTTCTGGGACCTAAAGTGGGGCCCTACTTTAGAGAACTACCACCTGCGCAACGGTTTAAGGGGGTTCTTTTGGGGTTTAGGGCCTCCCGGACTCGAGTGCATTGAATTCAGGGCGTAGGGTTTAGGTATAGGGTTTAGGG